GCTCTGGGCCCCTCAGCTCAGGAGGGACATGGAGGGGCTGGAGCAGGGGCAGAGAAGAGCAACGAGGCTGGGGAAGGGACTGGAACACAATTCCCATGAGGAGAGGCTGAGGGAGCTGGGGTTGTTGAGCCTGGAGGAGGCTCAAAGGAGACCTCATCACTCTCTGCAACTCCCTGACAGGAGGTTGTAGCCAGGTGGGGGTTGGTCTCTTCTCCCTGGTAACCAGCAGTAGGACAAGAGGGCTTGGTTTAAAGCTGTGCCAGGGGAGATTTAGATTGGATTACAGGGAGGGTAATCAGGCATTGGAAGGGGCTGCCCATGGAAGTGGTGGATTCTCCATCCCTGGAAGTTTTTAAGATGAGACTGGATGTGGCATCAGTGCCATAGTCTGGGAACCAACCATGGCGGTGTTGGATCAAGGCTTGGACTTGATCTCAGAGGTCCTTTTCCAACCCGGCTGATTCTATGATTCTATGATCAAATTCACAGTGAAGCACTTAAAGTAACTAACTACTGATAATTACTTTCAGGGATGTTCACCACATCCCACTGAATTCAGCAGGGTTTTGAGGGGTTACTGTTAAACGATATATTTGGACAGACCATATTTTCTGTTCCTTGATTTCTGTGCAAGTACAAGATTCAAAAGCTTTCGTAGCTTGATCTTTCTCGAAAAAAATGGACCAAACTCTTTAGTGTCTGGCATTACTCAAAAGTATTTATCTAAGGCTATTGTACTTGTCATTATTTGAACTCCTTTCTCATTTAGGGCTGGGGAGTCAGGAAGATCACGTTTGTGGACAACGCAAAGATCTCCTACTCCAACCCTGTGCGGCAGCCGCTGTACGAGTTTGAAGACTGTCTGAGTGGGGGGAAGGCTAAGGCACTTGCAGCAGCAGACAGGCTACTGAAAATTTTCCCAGGAGTGGTAAGATCAGTATTTCACAACATGTTGATACATTACTTGGAAGAAAAGCAGGGACTTTAAATTTCTATTCCACATGCTAATAATTAAACATTATTATGAGTGGGGGAAAAATGGTACACAGGTGATATGTTGGTTAAACCTGCAAGCATTTTACTTCAGGTGCTCCATACCTGTTAAACTTTACTGAGACAAATATTTGTAATAATGAAATAGAAATAAGCGCCATCTGAATTATCTTATAGTTCATTGGTGGTGAAGTAAAATGTTTTTCTGTCTAGTATGTCCTAAGGAACTTTCTGCTTTTAAATATGAGGTTAGACATATTAATTGTCCATTTATGGGAGTAGGTCTTGAAACATAATAAATGTATCATTGAGATTTCCTATTATGTTTTACACTTAAAATTTGTAGTCTTATTTAATTGATTTGCTACATTAGAAGAAAATGAGTTAATATTTAACTTCCAGAAAAGTAGTTGACCTATAATTTCAGAATAAACACACTCTCAGCATCCTCTATCATGAACAAAAAGTTTTTAGACTAACTTGGCATGTGATGAAAGTCACTCAGCTGTTGATAAAACAGTGTTTGTTTTGGAATTGAGACCGTCTTAGAATGCGTAGCTATAGTTACCAGAGCTCAGCTGGCAAAAGCATCTCAGTGTAGTAAGAACACTCACTATGCAATTCTGTATTTAAAGTGCTACTTTATTACTAGTCATAATAATATTAGGAGTTATTAAGAGGGAAATACAGATTATGTCATTGATGCTCAGTGTTGTGAGCAACTTTACAGATCATTTCTAAACATTTTAGGGTTCATTTAGTTTTAGCCAAGGAGTGCCCTGTGCTTTTATTCTTCTCTCTATGTTGACCCTATTATTATCCTCCTATTATTATTTATGAAGTCAGTATTGCTACTAAGTAGTAATTCAATGAATATTTGATCCCCAGTATGAAAAAATTCTGAACATTTCACTTTCAGATCTTTTGGTAAGGAAACCAGGAGAAACTCTCTGAAAGTTCCAAGAGCTTTGTTTAAGCTTGCTGCACTGTAGTGTTGTTGTTTCTTGGTGATACTCATTTAGTTATAGAAATATTAAATATCAAGTACAGAAGAGAAAACATCTGTGCAGTGTCACACAGAACACCAACAGGATGCTCTCTAGGGCATGTGTCACATGATTTCTAACTTTTTATACTTGAGAACTCAAAAATAGGAATATTGAGAAAGAATGAGTGGTTTAATTAGAGGAAATAAAAGCTTTTTGTGGATTATTGATGGGTACAGTTATGAGTTTTCTTGTTAGAAATAGCCAAAAAAGCAAAAGACTAGACTGTACTGTGGGACTGTGAGATTGTGATGAGGCTTGGAAAAAATAAAAAGGAAAAAAAATGTTAAATGTAACTTGGAGAAGAGCCAATAAAAGTGCTTTAGTGAGCCTGTCATCATGGCTAGGCTTCACGAACGAAGATTTGAGAAGGAGTGAGCCTGTATTGATGATGTATATACGTATATATTTGCTATACACAGGGGAAAAAAATGTTCCTGTTTGGTAATAGCATATACAATGTGCAAGCTGTACTGTATGTAAGGAATTTTTCCTCTACTCTACACCTCAAATATTCTGCACCTACCACTGTTTTCATAGCACAGTATCCCAATTAGTGTTATGTATTACCTGTTGTTTCCTCATGCCGTGGATGTGTCACATCTGATCAGCCTTCAGTGAGACTCACACCCGGTTTCATAGCTTTTTGGCCTAAATGAGGAGAAACTAGTTGCACAGTTGCTGTGTAGCCTCATGATACAATGTTTCTAATATAGTTTTTGGTCAATCTCATTCCTGCAGTAGAATTCATGGAGAAGAGGTATCCTGTTTGACCATCTGTAAATAAACAGAGAAACATACCAGTACCAACAAGAATTAACAGAGCTTCCCAGTAAAACCTCTGGTTCAAACAGTTCATATCATGCTGGCAGCATGTGAGGTGTGAGATTCAAGCAGCAGGCCAAGCACGTGGAGTAACAGCAAGTCTTTAATTAGTCGGGGTAAAATCTCGGTTCCTTGGGATGGTTTGGGCGGTGAAGCTGGAGATGTTCATAGCCCAGTGGCTGCACTGGGCTCCTCCATGGAGCTACATCTGTTCCTGCAGCCTGTGCTTTGCTTCTTACAAAGCCCAGATTTACCAGTGTAAATGTCTTTGAATAAAAAGATTAATTGTCCCAGATTTTGAGCCTTCTCATTTCTGTCCTACTGAAGGAGTAGCCAAAGCTGTCTCTTGCTGTTTGGAAACCCACACGGTCCTTTCTGAGGGAATCCAATAAGCAGTGCTGGTTCTGAAGGCATTTCTGAAAACTCGGGTTTACGTTTGCAGTCTAAGTTACATTCTTTGATTCAATTGTGAGTAATATTTTGCATGTGAAATGCAGTTTCTCTTGGTTGACTTTGAAATGCTCGACTGCTCTCTGTGAATTCTGCTTTATTTTTTAATTTTACATCCTTTCTAGTTGGAAGAGTAACCACCTCATCATTGCAGATGAAACAAGAAGGAATGCTTTGGCAAGCAGCTTTGATTTGTTTCATTCCACTTCTAAGATTACCATTAGCTGTAGCTTAGAGTTTTACTATAAAAAAGAAGAGAGGCCTTGGAAATAGCAGCATTTATGGATTCACAGCTTTTCTTAACAAGTAGGTAATGCACAGAGTCAATCATGTAGCTGTTCTGTGGAATTTAACTTTCTTACCTCTCTTATATAGTCATTTCCTGAACTATTCAGGCATGGAACTCCAGTGTATTTAGCATCTTATCATCCTTTACTCTATACTGCCTGGGGGGCCACTTTATGTAGATGCTTCTCATAGAACAATTTAGTGATGCCAGCACCCCATTTCTTAATGTTGTTTGTACTTACACATTTCTGTTCAGGTTTAATGTATTGAACACAGTTATATCCTAAGTGATCTGAGCCATGGTTTAACCAAAAATGCAGGAAGATAATAGAAATGTGAATAAAAATGAGAGAGAATGTTATGGTAGCCCCACAAATTGCAATATTTTGCCTGTTGGCTTTAAAAAGAAATGCCCCAAAAACACTAGAGCCTCTAACACAGCTTTAATCAGCTGTCAGTGAAAGTGTTAAAAAGTACATTATCTTTTATGGTTTTGCACATGTCAGCATACTTCTAAAAAAAGGATTTGTGTGCGATTCTATTACTTTATGGGATGGTAAGTTGTTTTGGATAATTTAGAGTAATTTTAAAATTTTTTTTAGCGTGAAGGTCTTAAAACCTAAGCTTTCTTGTGAGCAGTCAAGCAAAATTCTTTTCATCACATAGAAACTCCTGAGATTTTGGAATTCTGTGGAATGAGCAAGATGTGTCTTCGGGGATATATGCGCATTTACTCCTCCTTAAAATAATATTCATGCGCCATCCCAAGCTACTCTTTGAGTTCTTTTTGCCAGCATTTGGCTGCAAAAGTGAACCTCAGCTACTTTTGCTAGTGAGTGTTGTTGTTTTTTCAAGGGACAGTTGAAACTATTGAAGCTGCTAGACTTGTCTATATTCCTACAGCTACAGTCACAGTATAGTTTTTTTCTGAATTCTGCTAAGATTTTAGTATTTTACAAACCTGGTTACCATATTTCCATGAAGATCGTGTTCAACTTACTTGTTTACTTGTTTGTGTTACTTTATTGAACAAAAATTACCACCAGCAGTGTCAGTTATGCTTATGTAATAGTTGTGTGCAGTACAACTTAATGAGTTACCCGTAAATACATTATTCATGTGCAACATGGATTAAGTTTTCTGTTCCTGCCACAGCTTTTTTAGGGGATAATGACCCTGAAGGTAGAACCTCCTCTAGTAATTACCTAGGGTGCTGGTGATACAGAGCTGTTCTCACTGGGAAACAGCTTCTTGTTGGTAGCATGCTGGGTCATTGTGAGCTCTGCTTTCCTACCCTTGGAGGTGGCAATGAGGGGAAAAAGGGAAAAAAAGGTATATCCTTTGGTGTGGTTAATACAGATATCACTGAATTAATTTCCCCAAGCTGCTATATGTGCCTTGTTCTTTTTACCATCCTTAAGGATATTTATGATGTTTAGAATGCACATTCACCCTTATGGTTATTTACCTCATCTGGATTTATGAGTTGTGCTTGTAGTCGGTCTATACAAAAGCACATTACACCAACCTTTCTTTTCTCTCTTCCCATGCAATTTTATTGTTGGTTCATCCAGCTTTTAAATTCTGACTTTTAAATTGTTAGTTGCTTAAGGCTCAGCGACAGGCAGGAAGGCTTTGGCAAAGCTCATGCTTCTGTAGCATATATGAAGATCCATTCTTCTCTTACAGCAGATGGCTGTCAGATTGTGTTAATGTGTTTCCAAATGAGTGAGTTAATTGTTTGCATTGTATATGCCTTGTGTATATGCTTATTTGGCTCAGTATTTTCTGCTCAGTGTGCCTTGCCCAAATAGGAGGTTGGAAGAGGAATATGTTTCAGCAACAGGAATATGCTCTTTTCAGCATCTGCACAATACAAGTCTCCAGACAGCCAAGCTCTAGAGTAACAAGTCTCAAAAGTGTTTTTCTTCTATATCAACTTCACATATGGCTAGTTGAATTACAGCAAAATCATTTGAGACTAAGGAATTTAAAATAAAGAGCAGAATGTGTGATACTTCACATGCCTTACTATAACTAAGTCAGTATTCCATATCAGAAATATGAACTGCATCCTGTGAACATCATGTGTGAAGTGGCTGCAAAGAGAATCCAAAAGAAAGATTTTATACATGTTTAGCAGCCAGATCATAATCACATGTAAATGGAATTGCTTGCCTTTGTAGTGAGGGATGTTTGTAACTTCTGGGATTAAGAGCAATTCAACTACCTTCCTGTAGTAATTTGCTAGGCCTGAAAAGACGTGAAACACAGGGTTGGTCTGCACCTGTGACCCAAACTCGTGTGTTTGTACTGAGCTGCTGTGTTCTGGATCAATAAATACAGCAGCTGAGACACAGAAACTTTAGCACTGCACTGTCACACAGAGAGATGTCAAGAAGAAAGTTGCCATTCTGCCAAAGACTAATTGAATTTGTACTCTACAGTTTTGTATTGAATTTTATACTAATTCTATTCAATCACAAGGTTATCTTTTAACCTGTTTTTTTCTGTCTGCCTCCATCTAGAGCTCAGAAGGCTATAACATGAGCATCCCTATGCCAGGCCACCCAGTGAATTTTTCTGAGGTAACAATGGCACAGGCTCGGAAGGATGTGGCTAAACTTGAAGAGCTTATTGATGCTCATGATGTTGTTTTCCTACTAATGGACACTAGAGAGAGTCGATGGCTTCCTGCTGTCATTGCAGCCAGTAAGAGGAAGGTATTGTACTATTTCTTTTCTTTCATTCTTTCCTTAATTTAAATAGATTTCTGATCCTGAACAATAGGCTTGTATGTCTTTGTAGCTCAAATGAACTTCCCTTTGCCAGTGAATTACACTACCAGTAGAAAGATCAGGGTGTCCCTTTAGTGTGGACTGCACTGAAGTATAACTTCAGGTGTGAGTGGGTGTAACTTGATACCTCAATCAATTCCTCCTTAATCCTCCTGTCCTCTCTGCAGTTTGCACCTGCGGTCTTTCAGCAATCTTTTAGCTGTTTAAAACAGCTCAGAAATAGCATAAAGAGTAAGTTTGCAAAGCTGGCTATTGAACTGGAAAGTGCCAGCCTACTCTTCCATATGTATAGTGGTTGGTAATTGTAAGAAATATATGCAGTTTTATATGCATATGCATATTTTATATGCAGGCTGTCTGGTTCAGTCAGGATAGGGTTGCTTTAATGATCTCTCAAACCTCTCCTCGCATTTGCATAGCTAACAGTGCCCCACTACACTTGCCTTGCAGCATTCAAATCATATTTCGATGACAAATTTTAAAATTTCTTTGTGACACTTCTCTGTTATTTAGTGGCATAGTGTGTCTGCATCACTGTTAGTTGGTTTGATAAGATCCCTTTGATATGAGGAGATGGAATTCCCTGTCACTGAATAAGCATAGCAGTGAAATCTCAAGGTGTCCAAGCTGAAATGCTCAGTACTTTGTGCTGACACATTTAATGAGAGCTGTTTCAAATGTAATTTTGTATGATGACTGCAGGTTTGTAGTACTGCTGCAGTTTGGTCCCCAAGGTCTCAAAAAAGGGATGTGGAATACAAAGAACGTAGTGAATGAGAATGTGTGTAAAGTGCATAAAAACAGGTATATGGGGAAAGAAAGAGTTGTTTTTCCCATATAGTCATTCTTTGATACTCCTGCTTTCCTCTCCCCAAAACAAGCATCTTAGACCCCTCAAGTGTTAAATCCTCATGTCAGATATTACACCTTTGTTCCTCTTGAACACTAGAACTTGTAAAATTTTGCACCTTTTTTTTTAATGCATGCCAAGAGACACTTTTCCATTGTCTCTTTATCAAAACCAGATGATTCTGGGTTTTTCTTATTAAGGGTCAATCAGCTAGATGGAAATAGTTGCTAGCCAATAAATTGAAAAGAGAGAAACAGTTTATTGCAGTGGGAAGTGTTTGGCGATGTTATTAATTTCTGATAATACCAGCCGTGCCATTTTACTGATATTTTGAAGGTGGACTACCATATTCAGGCTTTACACGTAGATGTAACAAGAAGATGCAGTCTTTTAATTGCTGTAGACCTGGCTATGCTACCACAGATTCAACAGCATGGTTCTACTTTAGAACTGAGGGGAAAATAAACCACTACAAAAGAGACTATCCAGGAGTTATTTGAAATACTGAGAATGATGATGCAACTCTCAAGCTTGCCACAAGCCAGAGAGAAAAGGGAAAATGATGACAGTGTAACTGTACCACAACTGCTTGTGCTCCCCGTGTGACTAAGCATATGCATATGAAGACCATAAGTAATCATTAATTGCGTTCCTTACTGATTTTTTTTTTTTGATAACAGATGGTGTTTCACTGCTTGAAGTTCCTCTTACTTTCTTGCCAGCAAGTGTGCATAGGTTTGTGTAATGGTTAGATGGAGTCATTAATTTGTATCAAATTTCCCTGAAAGACACACAAAAAGGCAAGGGTTTGTGGCTTTTCGAAAAAGACTTTTATTTAGGTTTTGTTTCTTAGAAGTGCTTGATAACTGGAATTCTGCACCTTTCAGAAACTGTTGTTTATTACAAGAATGGTAGATGTGCAATTAATGGATAGTTCATCTATCTACAGCATGTGGGAGTTTTACAGTAAATAATGGGACATTTACAGTAAATAAAGCCTTTAGACCTTTTTTTCCCCCTCCCCTTTTGGCTCACTTAAAATCTCTTGTTCTCTCTTATTGTTCACAGTTGGTCATCAATGCTGCCTTGGGATTTGACACTTTTGTTGTTATGAGACACGGCCTAAAGAAACCGAAACAGCAAGAATCTGGTGATTCGTGTTTCAGCAATGCTTCTGGCTCTTCTGATCTTTTGGGATCGTCACTCTTTTCAAATATCCCTGGCTATAAACTGGGCTGCTACTTCTGCAATGATGTTGTGGCACCAGGGGATGTGAGTAGAACTTTATGCAAATGTTGATTATATTTTTTTTTGTTGTGACTTGAATTATTTATTTCCTTTAAATGAAGTTTCATGGAGGGATTTGTTTTATGTTGATGTACACAGGATTAAGAAATGGCTTATATTTTACTTGGAAGATTAAAGAAATTAATTGCACAGAACTAAGGTTGTTTTGTGCAGCAGGACAGATAGTTACTTTTGAGTTACTTCTTTTCTTTCCTTTAGAATTGTCTATCTTTGTAGTCCACCAGGGATCGGACACTGGACCAGCAGTGCACAGTCAGTCGCCCTGGATTAGCCATGGTAGCTGGAGCCCTTGCAGTGGAATTAATGGTTTCGGTTTTACAGCATCCAGAAGGGTGAGTCATTTCTGCACTGGTATTCTCTGAGAAATAAGACAAATTTAATAAAATCTTTTGAGAAGAAAGAAGTGCACATCAAGTAGGACAATTCTATAAGGTGTAATGTTGTCTGTAGATTAATGTAATGTATAGGTCACATTTACTGTGTTAGTATAATTTAATGGTATCTGAGAGAACTGATTCATCAAATCTTAAGTTTTTCTTTTTATTTTCTCTCTGAGTTTAACGGTAGAAGAGTATTGAGAAGAAAATATTGCTGTTAGTTGATCTTGGCATTTTCTTGTTGAACAGTGTTTGAGTGTAATGAACAGCTATTGTAACTATCTGTGTCACATGAAGGGCTTCAAGATAAGCCACATATTGCAAATCTTATTTAAAATTAGGTGGGTTTAATACAGAAATTATTCTGAAATTCTGCAACTTGAAATTAAGGGTTTTTTCCTGTCTTTAAAATCTGTGAAAGAAAAAGTGACTTAGGAGTTGGACATGAGTGTGTTGCAAGTCTCAGATTGATTTATATCCCCATGGTGTATCTTAGTTACTCTGAAACAGACTTTCCAGATAGATTCCTTTCCAGATTCTAAACCATAAGCTGTAACAAAATGCCTCGAAGCTTACTGGAAATTTTGACTCTGAGTGTGCTGTCTTGTTCTAATTTTCCTTCTTGGATTTTTGGCAGTGGTTATGCTGTGGCCAGCAGTAGTGATGATAGAATGAATGAGCCCCCTACTTCTCTTGGACTTGTTCCTCATCAGGTAAATAATTTGTGAGTAAATGCTTTTGTTTAAGACCTGGGAACTGATGTAAGGCAAATATCACAGATTTTGTCTCCTTAACAAAAACATGCAATACGCTGATTCCATTACTGAAAGGACTGACTCTCCATGTTTGTTTAAAAAAAATAAAGGAATAACATTAAACCATCACACAGGCCAAGGTAGTTGTGTTCCTGGCATTGTTCTGTCCTCCTTGTGGTCACAGAGATCCTGCTACCTACTTAGCAAGACGTTCTTTGGAGCAGGCAGTATGTGAATAAGGCAACCTCTGACTTTCCTGTCCCCCGTCAGAACAATATGATCATTTCAAAGTGAGTTTTGTTCCCTTTTTAAATCTGTTCAGAATATGAAAAAAAATCAAATCCAGCCAACTCAGTTATTATAGTTCTCCAAAATATTCCTGTATTTTTGGTACAATACAGCACTTTATTCTTCTACTCAACCCAAACTCTAGTTATAAATGTGCTAAGGATAAAGTTTTTACATTGCTGGATAAACTTGTTCCTATTTCTTATGTTATACAGTCCTTCAAAAAACTGTCTCCTGATTTTATCCCTGTAATCATATCCTCTTTGATATTATCACTAGGACTAGAATTATTCTGTGCCTCTTTCCTTATGTTGCTATCTGAATGACTGTTTGTGTACTTCCATTGTATAAATAAACCATTTATTTGTTTCTGAGCAGTATTTTTAGATTCTGTTGTCGTTTGGGGTTTTTTTTACACTAAGAATTAATCTTTATTCAGAAAAACATAAAGCTACTAGTGTGTTTTCTTTGCAACATCCAGGTATCACGGGGTCTGGGCTATATAAAATCTGTCTAATTTTGTTTATAATTTTATGTAATGACCAGTGTGCACACTTGGGTCATTTTATGCAATGGGGTGCCCTAGGTTCTCCCTGAGTTCTCTCTCTCCATTAAGTCTACAGTTCTTTCTCAGGAGTCCCCTGAATTTTTTCCCCTTTTTACTGTGGACACTCAGCTGCAGGACTGGTCAGAAATATCCAGTTCTTGATTGAATGGTTCAGATACCCTCAGGACAAGGCTTTTGTCCATGCTGACACTTTTGATCTGCTTATCTGGAAGGGTTTCAACAATTTCCAGCTTTGGCACTAATTGATAAGTTTGTTGCTTTCCCAGTGTTACTTTATTATAACTTAGTTATTCCCATATCCTATAGTGTTATCTGTAGTTCCAATGCTAATGCTGTTGTCAGTCAAGTCCAGCCCACACCTGCTGCTGCGGGAGATATTTTGACCTCTCACATCTCAGTAGGAAGCAGAATCCAAATCTAAGTCCTGTTCATTTGCTGATCCAGGTACTGATTTATCGTTGGAGAAGTACCAGAAAGGCTTGATTTTGTTGTTTTCTTTTCATCTTTCTTTGTGTACAAAATGGCTGTATTTTTGTGTTCTGATACTATTTATGGCTTGATGTTTCTGCAAAAATGCCTTTGTATTAATACTAGTGATAGTATTAAATAGTTTAAATTGCTTTTGGCTTCCCAGGTCTCTGCCATTCCAGCTCCATGAAATGTGTGGAGTGTATGTTGGATGGATTTCCATAATAGACTTCAAAATTAAGGCATTATTATTTGCATTACAGAGTTACTAAAGTTCTGTTCTTTGTGACATCTCTTCATTGTAGTAGACCTATAAAAGCACAGAACAAAAAGGATGATCAGTACTCTAAAGAGTTCATGGTCTCAATATTCAAACATGCTGCAAAGTGTTTGCTCTGGAATTTTAAACTTACCTATCAGTACTATCACACGAACATCATAGTTTAGGAATGCACAGCAGCTGGGTTTTCAGACTGTATGTTAGCAATGGGCGATAAAAGTATGTTTAACTGGTTATACCATGATTTTTTATTTTTGATCAAATTTTTGCACTCAGAAAAGGCAAACCGCAGGTGGTGCTGTGCCTCTCTTTCTGGTTAAATAGTGTTACATTTAGATAGTTGTGCCTTTATTTGTATATAGAAAAACAGTAATATGTGTTAGTATGAATTTACTACAGGTGTTACTGAGGGTGTCTGTGTTAGAATGTTATATACCCTAGTTATAAGTTGTATATCTCCAGTTCATGTTGAATTCTGGAAATGTTTTAAAACAGTATTGTGATTTTCTTTCCTCTTCTAGATCCGAGGATTCTTATCAAGATTTGATAACGTTCTTCCCGTCAGCCTGGCATTTGATAAGTGCACAGCCTGCTCAGCCAAGGTAAGTCTTTCTGTCCTTCATTGATATGTGTTGCTCTGGGTCAGTCTTGGAGTAGAGGACTACTTTATGTTTCACATTTTTTCTGTCTTCCCTTAGGGATTGGAATCTCTTCAGCTAAAGTTCTTGTGCCCTCATACCCTTCTTTTTTTGCTGTTTTCCAAGTTTCTTTGACATCGCCTATTAGCATGCTATCTCCATGTAAATGTTCTAGTCAGCTGAAGAATCCAAGAAGAGATCGGATTCTGAAACATTTCTGAAAGGTTTTTCACATAAATACTGTCAACATCTTTTAGTTTTGTGGGAAAGGATAAGATTGATATTGTTTAAGAAATCCTTTCTGATGTCTGATAGATACAACTTTTTAGCTTTCTAGAACTTAAGCAACTTTGTGTATTTCTAAAGATAGTAAATTTCTGATTTGTGATTCGAAACAGATGTATAAAGAACAATTGAGGGAAAAGAATTGCTTCTTCATTGAAGAGACTGTTCGTTTTGGTGTTGGTGTTGGCGGTCCTGAGTCACCTCACAGTTTGCAGCTGTTCCTTGGCTCCATGCTGTGTCCTACTGGAACAGTGGGACAGCTCTTGAATTGTCTGCCTGCACAGTGGCCTTAAAAAGTTTTCTCTGGCAAGTTTTCTATGGCCATGTAGTGCAAGTTCAAGAAGTTTTGACTGGGATATCTTGATAGGAAGTGTCAGAGGTTTTGACTCATAGTTTGGACTGCTTGGGAGTGCCATTGATTTGATTCCTTTTTGTGCGCCTTGAGACTGATTGCAAGAAGTTCTTTCTGTTCTTTTCACTGCACTTGCCCTTCTTGCAAACAGCCATCAAAAACTCCTGAGGCAGTGTCATTTTTTTGAGTACTTGCGCAGTATCTTATTCTACAGTATTCCTTTTATTCCTCTAGGCTGCCTGGGTTCATTTGACAAGTTTGAAGGACACTTAATGTGCATTTCTCCTCAAAAGTTGAAGCACTAAACTAGCACATTTCTAAATATAACAGCAGTTTTGTCTACCCTTTTGAATAGCTGAAAGCTCAGCAGTAGCTAAAATTTGATGGTGGAGTCTGAGGATTTAAACTGTTACATTTTCTTTTATTTTCTTACTATTATTTTTTTAATCTCCAATCCAAGACATACTGATATACAAAAACAATAAGAATGTACTCCTATATAGATAAATGCAGGTATAAATTTTTTGTTAGCAAATAATTTCCTCTTGGAGGTCATTTAAAGAGAGCCCAGTTTTACATAAACAGACTTGACGATTTAATAAAAACTGACTTGGATTTTAGCAGCTGTGCTATTCCCAGAGAGATCACTTTTCAGGTGGTTTGGGTATTAAATTACTTCTGTGCTGAAAAGGTTGCTTCATTGGTGCACGTATTTCCTTACAGTAGAAACACATACTTTGTTTACTTTTCTTTCTATTTATTAGCACAAAATTTATGTCATCCTGCATTATGTGGAAATCTGATGCTAGTACTTTGAAATGACAAATCCAATTACAATTTAATTGTAGTCTGTATGCTGATTTGTTGTATGGGGGTGTTTGGTTTTTTTTTTTAATATGGTAATTTAGCATAATTTTATCCTGCTCTATATCAGATTTACTGTAGATTCAGACATTTAGCACAGAAGTGGCTTTGCTGATATAGTTGAATTTGCTGGCACCATATTCATTTTCTTCTTCCTTAAGTCAGCATTCTCTCTCTTGAGCTCTTGCCACTCTGTAACTCTTAAAACATAAAACTAACAAATTAGGAATTTTTAAAAAATTCCAATACGTTCTTAATCCATCCAGCATAGCTGGATGACTTAGGAGAAGCCTCTGATGATCGGCATGTTTGGAGTCCTTTTCGGTTTGACTCACAGTGATTACTTCATCTCTGGTTTGGAAGCTGAGGAGACCAGACGTCCAACAGCCAGCTATTCCATATCCAGAATTGTCCTAAACAGGCTGCATGCCCGACAAGCTTCCCACAGGCAATTGTTCAGGAATTTTGGGGTGGTCGCATCAGGAAACCATTCTATTTTTATTCTGGGCCAAATTTTCCTTGTATGATTTGCCCTCCTGTCTTATTCTGGTTCTGCAGAAGTGTGTGCTGGAATGCAAAATATCCCTTGTCAGAGCTAAGGGCGCTGCTGTGCCAGTGGAGGTCTGAGGAGCTCTTCTGGTGCCAAACTTGTTCTGTCACTGAAAAGGGAGAGCCCAAAGTTCTTTAGTATGGTATTTATTGGCAACAACTGCTTTACTTACAGAATGTGAATATTAAGCTTATTCCTGTGCTAGTTACGCCATCTGTTTACCCTTACAGGAGCAAAATCAGCATATTTGCTCATAATATTATGGCGAGCAGCACTGCAATTTATTAAAAAAGCAGAGCAATCCTGATCCTGTGCTACTAGACCCTTGCAGACAAGTGACTAAAGCCTTGACCATGAATGTTAAAATATGTATTTTAATGCAAAACTGCCAGTGTTTATATTTTAGTGAAGGTAATGAACATTTTCATGTTATTGCTCCCCTTGTTGTGCATTGTGGAACGAACAAGTAGACCTCACAGAGTCAGAGTTTAATGTCATTAGGGATAATTGCTACCAACCAACTTGGATATACAGATACCTCCTCTGTTTTTACCTATATCTCACATTTTCTCCTGAGATAGGATTTATCATCCATGTGCTGGAAAGCTGGCTTGCTTTCCTTAAAGATATTTGTCCTTCCCCTACTACAATCATCCTCATGTAATTATTTCCACTATGAAATTTTTAAAAATCACTGTATGTCTAGTAATTTTCAAGTTCTTTCTCAACTCTCCATTCAGTGTGCTGAAAACTTGAGCTGCTGATGTAGATTTTTACCACTGAGTAAACTCACTGACTAAGCATTAAATGTTTTTCATTTTCATTGCATGTGAGTAAGGGACAGACACTGGGATCATGGATGGTGTTCTAGACATTATGTTACAATTTCTGCTTTCAGTTAAAGTATTCCCCTATATTTGCAAGTGTTTTTTAACATCCCAGGAATACATTAAACACTTTTGCTGTGACATTTACTAAGTGCCTGGGTTGCCTAAATTATTTGTGAGTGTTTCAGTTTTGAAATGTATCATCGTGTAGATTTAACAATGCTTTCATTGTTCTCACGTGCTGACTGCTGTGCACGCATTTTTACTTTGATCTCTTCTGATCAGTTATGACAGTAACCTGCAATATTCAACTTACTGGTGTTTTTCAGTTGACATCATTTTAATTTTGATTCTAGCAAGTCCCTTCACATCTACCCCAGCTGCACTGACAAAAACATTCCTATTTGCTCTCTCCCAGTAGTAGCATATTGTACAATCTGTCAGTGAAACCCTTGAATCATTTTATATTCTACATTTCTCAAGTATTGTGCTGATGTCAGAGATGTAAAAATCATGGGGGAGGGAAAACCTTGGTCTTTCCCGTACTAAAAAAAGCTAACTCTTACACCTTGCAGAAATGATGAAGGAAATTAAATGTTTGTCCTTCAGGAATTAATGTTTCAAAAATGTAAAAGAATGTTTTAAAAAAGTTATTTCTGGAGCTGTGCTCTAATATTGAGTCTGTGTAACCAAATCCTTCTTTCCTGAATTTACATATGTTAACGCTTGGCTCATCCATTTACAGTGCAGCCTCTGTAGTATTGGGTAGATTCATTCAGACTTGAAGAATGTGTCACAGGTACACCTAGGCATATTTTCAACATACTGACTTAAATCTAGTACTTTTCTTACTCTTAAACTGGCATAGAAATTTGCTTTATAGTGAGTTACAGAAATTTATCACTTTTGCTTTTTTGCTTTTTGAAAAATGTCTTTTTAACTGGGGGAAGCAGGAGGCAGGATTATCTTGCCCATAACTTTTGAAATATCGGGCAGCCTTTACCTCTCTGGAAATAAATTTTAAATTTAGTGATAGAATTGAAATAATTTATCTTTCAAAATTAGTCACAATGAGGATGTTTTACTGTTCATTGCCTGAAAGGTGTGCATTCTTCAAAATGATGCCTGGTCTTGCTATTTTATAAATACTGAATTTTTACAATAAAGTCAACAAAATATAATGTAGAGTATCCCAAATAGAAGGATACTTACAGAATGAATTTGTAATGGGGACTAAATATGCCACATCACATGCTAAGAAATTGTGACCATGGTAATGTGACCATTGTGGTGGAATTTTGTTCCTTTAGAGGACAACAAATGTGATAAAGAACCTCAGAAATCTTAAAAGTTACATTGTCCTGTTTTGTGAACAGAGAAGAGGATGTGGAGGCTGTACAGACAGGAGAGGTGATCACTGAAAAATGGAACATGTATGTATATCTATATATGCATACAATGGAATAATAACAACACTGAATCTAATAGGGTAGGAGAGAGCTAATTATCTCTGAGGAAAAATAGGTGGTTTTAATGAAGCATGTTTAAGTGGGGAAGTTACTCCTTGCTTAGTCCGTCCTGATGACTGGGAACATCATGGCTAATCCTACGTGAAGACAGTAGTGCTGAATCAACTCCCTTGCACAGAACAGCTCCATAGGACAGGTTGTGAAAGGAAGGGACATGGGGAAAGATAGAACATACTTATGCTAAATCTTAAATCATACCCTTTACCAAAATTCAACAAGCAGGAGACTGCCGTGTGTTGGCACTGCTGTGGTTGGATTGTGAGTCAGAAATGATGGATGTTTTGCACCAGCTATTCAGAGGTGGTGGATGCAGGTTGATTGATGTTTAATAGATAACAGAGGTTGTTGACACCAAACAGCCCCCCAATGTCAACAGAAGAGAGGATTTTTTAAAATGAAGCAAAACTTTATGTTATACTTTATATTTTGGTACTGAAGAGAAATAAGGTTATTTGAAAACTCAGGCAGCTCACAGGGATAGTTTAACTAATGCTGCTGCTGGCAGCATTTACTTGTGCTCTTTTGCCCCACCAGGCATGATGATGTTGGATGTCTTT